ACCACCTTTGCAACAGCTATTCCTGTGGTGTTGTAAATGTTCTTTAACACCACCTTTGCAACAGCTATTCCTGTGGTGTTGTAAATGTTCTTTAACAACACCTTTGCAGCAGCTATTCCTGTGGTGTTGTTAATGTTCTTCAATACCACCTTTGCAGCAGCTATTCCTGTGGTGTTGTAAATGTTCTTCAATACCACCTTTGCAACAGCTATTCCTGTGGTGTTGTAAATGTTCTTTAACAACACCTTTGCAGCAGCTATTCCTGTGGTGTTGTAAATGTTCTTTAACAACACCTTTGCAGCAGCTATTCCTGTGGTGTTGTAAGTGTTCTTTAACAACACCTTTGCATCAGCTATTCCATGGCTTCTTGGAACTAAATTATGGTTTCCACACATGCATAATATATTACTTGCATACAAGCTTGGTTTTTAAATTTACATACTGCATGTTGATATTATATCCTTTAGAAAATATCTTCATCACAGAACCCGTGCACAGCGGCACTTTGTAAAGCCATGCTTACAGCTGTCATCTAGTGTTAGACAACATGCAAGACTCAGTTAACATCTTCTTTGGATACCAGTATCAATACTGGCAGGTCAGAACCCATGCACAGTGGCACTTTGTAAAGCCATCCTTACAGCTGTCATCTAGTGTTAGGCAACATGCAAGACTCAGTTAACATCTTCTTTGGATACCAGTATCAATATTGGCAGGTTAATCTTTGTTTTTCTCACTGTGGTAGCAAAGACTGAAGCTAAATGTTAGCACCTTTACCAACACATGGTCAGGGAACAACCTTCAAAGACTGCTCATGTCAAGTGCAACTAGAATTCTGATGAGTGCCTGCTGCATGTTTTAGCTATGCTGAGTATCGTGTTGTTGAGATCAATACCTTGTAGGGTTCTACAAAAGATGGTACTTCAAGATAACCCTTAGTAGCTGTGATAGACTACCTAACTTTACAGAAAGGTCTTGTCAAATTTTTTTCAAGGCATACATTCGTCAATGTTTTCATTGCCAGACATCAGGTATTTAACTTTTTTCCCCACTATATGTGGGACAAAACAGTCTTTCTGAACAAAAAAATGGGTGGGGGGGATTGTGTAGTGGTAGAACTAACATAGCATGCTCTGTCATTAATTTCTGTGTGTTAGAACTTAGATATGAAATATAATGTTAATTAGGTAAATTTTAAAATATTCCGTATATGAGTTATGCAATTACGAACATAATCTGACTCTTGTGGGTAATAATGACCCATTGAAATTGGTTTTGAAAATTGGCTGGCACTAGATAGTTCATGTGTGTGAATAGGAACGCTGACTTCCATTAACTTAATGTTCATTAGTCAGATCACAGTCTTAGTAGGGAGTTTTAGAAAACTTGTGAAGCTTGGACTTGAAATGTATTCCAAGTGTAGCAAGATCTGATTTCCTTTTGTACCAGATTTAGGATAAAATAACTAGAATAATCAGAACTTTTATGAAAGTCCTTGTCTGTTATCCAGAGGCTATGGATTAACTGCTGTAAAAGTGGTAAGAATTCTTACCTTTGCAACACTACATTTGTCATTAAGCTTGTTGTACATGTTGTGTTGGTTTTCTTTGTTTCTTATTAAGTTTTGTATAACAAATCCAGCCATTCCTCCAGTTATTATGATACTTAAGTTAGCATATTTTTTTAAGTCAAAATTTACTTTGGATTTGTACTAAGTTTTACAGTTACAATTTTAGTTCCTTATCTTAGGATTTATCACAAAGTTTAAGAACACCATACTTCTCTGTTTTTCTTCTGTGCACAGTAAACACTGTCTAAATACAAAGAATGGACAGGTATTATTCAAGAGGTTAGAGCATCCTGGAGATGGCTTATAGACTGAAGTTTAGATCCCAAGATCTAAATAACACTAGAAGACATTTCCTGCTAGATGAGCATTATAGTCTGTAACTCCTCAAAGTCTTACAGAAGTTCATGATCTTTTCACAGAGTCAAAGAGTTGAAAAGCAGCCTACAGCTTCCTGAGCTACCATTAAACTCTTTGACAAGCTAGAGAGGTAACATTGAGACTGAATGCTTCAAAACTCTGTGTAAAAGATTCCATAAACACCACTAACTTTTTGTTCTTTAATCTGGGTTACCATTACAGGGACGAGGTTCAAGTAAGAAACATCTTTCACTAACCCAAGTACAGCCTTTGATAATGTTTTCAGAGTTCTTCTGTTGTATGTCATCGTTTTACAGAGTTTTTAGTCAAAGTTAATTGGATAAATGGTGTATATTAAAACTCGGAAAAGTAATTGAGATCTATCAAAAAAAAAGTATCAATAAGTCATTGAGATTTATTTTTTGATTAGCCATGTTACAAGTTTTTTAACTTAGTTATTTTACTTAAAGAAATCTTACTGTTAGTTTGGTTATTAAATTTTCAAAATCAGTATAAAGCAGGGTATTTGTTCTCACACAATTTAAGGTTATCTTACGGACTTATTTGTTACCTCATGATGTTGGCCAATTCAAACAAAAACACAGAAAGTACAAAATTTCTTTAAACATTACATCCATACTACTCACTAACGTGAAATTATTAATGTAATATGAAAGATTTATTATCATCAATACTAATTAGTTTATTCACATATATATATATATACTAAGATGATATCAAATTTTCCACCACCATCAAGAAAACATTTCTATGGTGAAATAAGGTAACATCCTATGGAGAGTTGTATACTGTACTGAGGTATGAGTTTTGAACCAAGTGACAATATCTGCTGTTGATCACTTCCAGTTAAAATCTTAAACAAAAATAAATATATAAAAGCAGTACCGTAAAATTGGGAAAAGGATTTATTGTATTTTCTTGAGATACATCAAAACAATTTTTTTTTTTAAATTTCATGCAATGTATTTAATGTTGGTCTCATTAAACTACTTAGACACATGTGGTTGCTGTCATAGAACAATTTCATAAAAGTTCTGATTATTCTAGTTCTTTTATCCTAAATCTGGTACAAAAGGAAATCAGATCTTGCTCCACTTGGAATACATTTCAATTCCAAGCTTCACAAAGCTTCACTTGATTACACAAACCATTCAAACATATATAAAAAACTCAGCAACTGAAAATCATAGACTGAGAAAGTTAAAAATTAGCACTATCCAATGTATAAAGAAAGAAGTTTCTTCAAGTTAAATCAAATAGAGACTGAAATCAACAGTTCACGTTTTCATTTGTTATTATTTGAATTAGATAAACATTAAAGTTTTAACAAGAGAATGAATGCTGACAGAAGTAACTATTTATTACAAACCAAAAACTTATCTTTCTCCAATTTCAAAGTCAATTATAATTTATTTGACGATTAATTCTTTTCTAAAAACTGTCCATCTCATTGCACCTAAGTATTTTATATCACTGAAAAAATTTAATACAATGATTTTACAATTAAAAAAGTTTTTTTTTAAATTGTGCAAATGTTAAGAAACATTCTTCACATACAGTTGAAATTAATTTTTAAAAGAATTTTTTTTAAATCAATGTTTTTCTTGAAGCAAATTATATTATAGAAAGTAAAAAGAAATGTTACGGTGTGCTATGTAAATAACAAGGTAACAATAATGTCATTAGTAAGAAGAAATACACTAACTAACTTATTTGCTTTAAAAACATTGGAGAAGTTTTATATTTCTGTTCTTAACAAACCAATAAATATATGCCAACATCCCTATTTTTGAACTACTGACTAATTACCAGCACCCTACCACTCAAACTAAAGGATTAACTACCATTTTTATAAACACACTTGCAGCTTAAAGTGTACTTGACAAACCAATAAATATATGCCACCAACCCTATTATTGAACTACTGACCAATCACCAGCACCCTACCACTCAAACTAAAGGATTAACTACCATTCTTATAAACACACTTGCAGCTTAAAGTGTGTGTGAAATATTTTGTGGTACTGTACAGCTTTAAGCTCAGCTTACCATCTCTGAAATCCCAATGCCTGTTACACAAGTCATTTCATTTACCACAAAAATAGTTTAAAACTTGTTTGGATAGCAATGCTAAATAAAAACAACCTTTTATTTACATTAAACAGAGGTCTTGGTGTTTTATCCTGTGATGAGCTTTCAAACCTAAACAACAAGTTGTAAATTTCCATCAGTCCAAACCACATTATATAACAAAGTATACTTACCAGTTGTCGTGTCAAAGAATCGTATGTGTCTGTCTTCATAAGCTGCAATTGTGAGAGGTAAAGTAGGATGGCAAACAACATGGTTGATCTGTTTACTTAGGGGACTTGCACCTATTAAATTAGTATATATATATATATATTTTAATACGAACAACTACATACCAATACTAAAGTCAAATTTACAAAAACCAACATGCACATTTTCTGCTTCACAAACTCCACAAAATAAATAAATAAACTATATAGTTCTTCTTAAGGGACTTGATAAAAATTTAACAACTTCCAATATGACAAGAATTCTAGTTTGAAATGAACAACAGCCTTAACGCATGGATTTACCTTTGAATAACTGTTTTCATGCATGATACAAAGTTTCCTGTGGTATTAAAACTTGACTGACTAATTTGGTAACAAGTTTTCTTTTATTCTAAAACCTTTAGCACATTATTTATGAAGATGTAAAGAAAAAAAAAGTACAAAAAACTGAAAGTGATAAATCCTAATTTGTATATACAGGCCGGCTTACTTGGAGTCTGATCACTGTCTAAACGTAGAACAATTTTTCCTGTTTCCAAATCGAAGATTACTGCACTGGAAGAGGTGTAGGCTACCACCATTTGTGCAGGGTCACAACGAACAAAATCAGCTGAAGCAGGACGACCATCATCTGGAAAACAGAAGATCCAGTTACACATATTAATACACTTCTTATAACCTGATATTATGTGCATACAATTATAACAGAGTTAAACATAACAATTACGTACACAAATACATTTGTATACTAGTTTCAAACACAACAGTTACACTAGCAGGACAACAATTATAAACTAGAGATAAATATAACGTATATACATTTTGTCATAAAGTAAGAGTCTGTAACAATACATGTAATTGTTATAAAGTAAACCTCCAAATTGCTATAGCAAAAAAAAAAAAAGAAGACCCACTGAGAACAAAGAGGTCATCTAAAATTTCTAATTAACCCTCTTCATATAAGCTTGGTCATTTTGACCAGCATTGTAACCACCATATAACCATGAAAGTATACTTAATATATTAAAAGTTAAATTATCTTCACATAATTTTACAAGCTTTTAGTAAACATTACAAGTCTTTTGTACACAATAAAGCATTTTTTTAATTAGGCATTTTTGTTAGAGATTTGTCTGTCAATTTATAGTCACAGTCTGACTATTTTGAGTGCAAGGTGATTTTCATGTTAAGATTAAAAATACTTTACTTCATCTTACAATTTGCATATCTTCTAGAACCTCCTAAAAAATATCAATTAGAAACTTGTTAAGTTAGATAAGACATCATAAATGAATAACAAACAAAGTAAAACAATATCTCGGCAAGGTATGCAGGTGAGAAGCTCGTTCTTTATGTAGTTCTAGACTTTGATTACCTTATCTGTAATTTTCTCTATCCTTAAGCTATACAGGCTTTATCCATTTTACCAACCACAAAAATATGAAATAAATCTAAATTACTCTTCTTTTTTCTTTGTAGAATATACTGCAGATTGTAACAGAAAGTCATAATTATATATCCTAAACAGTCTCAGGCTTGTAACAGCTTATATCTGTTTTCATTAAAATTTATTGTTTTATTGCTCTTTGAACCATGTCTAACTACAGAATGTGCACAAAAAAAAGCTAAAAAACACTCAAGGCATAGCCCAGGTTACAGTAATTGAAGTACTGAACTACATGAAGCACATGTTTCTCGCATGTATACCTTGCTGAGAAATTGTTTTCATTTAGGTTTTCTTCTCTAACCTAACAAGTTTCTAATTTTTACATTTTTGTTACCTTTATAAAAATAAATAAATACATATTACATAAAAAAAAGAAACTTAGTAGTTACATGTATGTCTTGTACTTTTTTTGCAGTCAAAGTCTGGCAGTATCAATACAAGTTACCACTAATTTTTGTTATGGTTGTTGTTAGTACTTGACTGAATCTTTATTTATTTCAAATATTCAGTTTAGAACATAAAATAATAACACACACACAAAGAATACAATGTTCTATAACTATTATAGTTTAAAACGGTTTTCTAACTAAGCTATAAGTTCATTAAAATAATTACCTTAGCTGGTCAAGCTGAATTATGTAATATCAACTTTGAATTTGAAAGCCACATAATTCAAAATCTTTCAGGAGAATGAGTTAGCATTATATGTAAATCAATAAATTAAAATTGCTTCTTTCTGTTGGTTATAAAGTATGTAGTAACAAGCATAAGAGAGAATTAACTGAAAGTTTTTGAAAGATAGTATGTGATAAGAGGGCATGGCATGTAGCTATGACCTTCTGGTTTATAACTATGGGCATGTGGAAATGACTTTCCGGTTTAAATCTACGTAAAACAAGTTGATTGGTAGTTTCAACAATTTCTTAGCAATATCTATAAGTTTGTAATTTGCATGAAAACTCAGAAAAGCTCAAATAGGGGATGGAAAGAATATAGAAAATTTGCAATTTGGAGTGAACAAGTGTCGCGTGACACAGAAGTGAAGAATAAGAACTTACTTAAATATTTTCTTTAGAAATTATGAAATTAATATTTATACAGTATTAAAATTTGTATTATTAACTATGTTTTGATGCCAAGTTTATTCGTATACATTGATAATAAAGTAGTTTAATTAAGTTTTGAATGTAACTCTTGTAAAAGGTTCTTACATGCACATTTGGACCTACCAGTAGCGAGAGAATTAATGTGATTGCTTTGTCATCTCATGCATAACCAAAATAAAGAGATAGTGGATAAGAGAAGCAATTCACAACCACAAATTATAAATTACATGTATTTTAGTCATCTATGACTGTATTTGCAGCAAAAGGCCAAAAGCGAGAATATTAATTTGTTTTTGAAAATCTACTTACAAAAAATATCCCTTTTTCTAATGGATAGACTATATGTAAATAACGTTAGAGGCCTGTACTTCCTAACTATAACCTATCAATGGTTCCCAATCTGGAGAATACCTCCACTAGGGGGTGTGCCAAGCATGAGAGGAGACCTTCAATGTCGACAGGCTAAGAGAAGAAGGAAATATGTTTTAAGGAAAAGGTGAAACATGGAACTAGGCCATCTGGGAGGACAACAAATCCAGAAGGAATGCAATAACATGGTAAGGATAAGGGAAGCAAAAACTTGATGGTATCAGGAAAAATTAAATGTATGGGATAAAGCTGCCAGATAACCCAAGATCAAAGAGACCAAAGACCCTCCGCCAAAAAGCCATGTGAGAAACTCAGCCACACAAGCCCCAGTAGGTCGATTAGTGTGGAATTTCCCAGTAGCAGACCACTTGTGGAACATCTCCGTCAAAGAAGGACACATGGAATGAGCCAAAATGAAAGTTACTTGATGGGAGAAACATGATCTCCTTGTCAAGGACCAGATAAAAGCCAGACACGATGACGAAGACGTGAATGGCGCCAGAGCCTGAGGATAAGGTACAGGAGATCAAAAGAAGGGTAATTTGTGATTGAGGGCTGTGGCAAATGCATCTACATGTGGAAAACCCCACAGAGTGCAAAGCCACTGGAATACGAGGGGATCTATCAAAAGACCACTCCGTCAGATAAATTTTGTCAGGGCGGAAAAGATGATCTGCTATGAGATTGAAAGCAACCGGAACGTGACACGCAATGAGATGAGTGTGGTACATGTGGGCCCAATATAGGAGATCCAATGAACAAAAACAGAGAGATCTTGACTGGGTGCTCCCTTGGTGATTGATATGAGCTACCACCATAGAACTGTCAGAATGAATAATCACCAGACACTGTCTGGCAAGAGGAAGGAACTGATTCAAAGCCCAGTGGACTGCAAGAAGCTTGAAGACATTGATATGCAAAGACTGCTCATTGACAGACCAATGACCCAAAGCCTCTTGGTGATTGACCCCTGCATCCAGCCCTGAAGCGATGCTTCCTTGAAAAGATGTAAATCCGGATGCGGAGGAGGAAGCAGGACACCCACCGACATATGGGCCTTGTCCAACCACCATAGCAGATCATCCAACAGGGTATGAGGAAGGGTAATGGGAGCTGCCAAGGGATCCCGAGCAAGGTTCCATTGATTGTGAAGAGCCCACTGAAGGGATCGTACATGTGCACGACCAAGGGGGATCAGCGATGTCATTGAACACCACATCCCCAAAAGCGATAGAACCTCATGAGCTCAAAATGAGGAAGCTGAAAGGGAGTGGCGAACTAACAATTCCATGGAACAAAATCGTAGAGGAGAATGTTGGGCCCAACTGAGATGAGTGTGGAAAAAAACACCTAAATGGACAAGATATTGGATAAGATGGAGGAAGGACTTCTCCAATTTGATTAACTAGCCAACCCGAGCAGCCATTTGAAAGAGCTGACGAGTATGGCTGGCCAACTCCATTTCAGAATGAGCCAGAAGATGGTAAGTAAAAGCTTTGATTACTTGAGAGAAAACATAAGGGGCAGAAGCAAGCCGAGAGAATAGGGCATGAAATTGGTAAACCATCCTGTGATGGACGAATCAAAAATATGGACAAGACTGTGTTGAGATAGGGATGTGTAGATAAGCATTGGTATTGTCCATCTTGGTCATCCATAAGCCTGGAGAAAATGCCCACCAAAGGGTGAGAGATGATTCCATGGTAAAACGGGGCATTTGAATAATTCGATTGAGGCAGGACAAATTGATGACAGGCATTTAGTCCCTGGTCTTCTTGGGAACAACAAAGTGTCTGGAATAAAAACCTGGTGAAGTATGTGGAACAGGTTCAATGTCATGCTGAGATAGTAAGTTCTGAACTACCTCAGAGAGATGCTGGCCAGTCATTGGATCCCAAGGCAGAGAGAAGGAAATGAGTATAGGAGACATGGGAGGTGGGGAAAGAAATGGGATCATGAATCCTTCCAATAAAACTTGAAGAACCTAATGATTCTTGACAAAAGGATGCCACTGATGAATGAAATCGGCAAGTCAAGCTTCCACCAGGTAGTCACCGATACTGTTGGTGACGTGATGTGTGTCCAGAGACTACCTCAGAGAGATGCTGGCCAGTCATTGGATCCCAAGGCAGAGAGAAGGAAATGGGTATAGGAGACATGGGAGTTGGGGAAAGAAATGGGATCATGAATCCTTCCGATAAAACTTGAAAAAACCTAATGATTCTTGACAAAACGATGCCACTGATGAATGAAATCGGCAAGTCGAGCTTCCACCAGATAGTCACCGATACTGTAGGTGGCGTGATGTGTGTCGTTGAAGAGAATGATGAGATGAGGCACCCTGAGAAGGAGGGACAGGCAAGGGTGGGGAAGAGGAAGGACAGGAAACTGTAACAGGTGCCATATTGGGCTCCAAAAGAGACAAACACGCAACAAGATTGGAAATGGTAGACTATTGCTGTACTGATGCAACTCGTGACTCCAAGGACTCAGGGATCATGTCAAATACATAACACTGCAAAAATGAGGCCATATATAAATCCTGGAGATAATATGCTGGTAAACAGATGTGAGTTAAAGTCACATCATGACCTAGAAGATCCCAACAACAGAGAAACCACATATGAAAAGCCAGAGCCAAAGATGACAAACATGGAGGAAAGACCCAACTAGACTTACAGAATCTATATATAAACCATTTAATGACAATCAAGTATCATTAGCAGTCTTCTTAGATGCCAAAAAAGCTTTTGATTAAGTGTGGCATAATGCTATTAGATACCGATTATATTCCATGAATGGTAACAACAAAATAATCCAATGGATATCCAACTTTTAAACCAACAGAACTGCAACAGTTAAAAGAAATAACACTCTATCCAATACATTTAACATCACTGGAGGAGAACCACAAGGGTCTGTTCTATCACCCCTATTTTACATACTGTTTATAAATACCCTTCTCTGACCTGTCATACACTTATTTTTCCCAATATGTAAACAACACAGATGTATGGAGTGTATCCCGCAATCCACTAATTGCAAGTAACAGGGTTCAAAAATCCTTAAATACAATCCTAAACTGGTAATGACTGGCGAGTCCTTCTGAACCCCACAAAAACCACTGTAATCGCATTTAAACACAGCTTAAACAAACACTACAAAAACAGTAAAAAATTAAAGCTTAAACTAAATAATGATGAAATAAAGCAATGCCCCATGCAAAATTTCTAGGAATAACCTTTGACACACGACTCTTGTGGATGCAACACTTTAAAAACATCAACAAATCCTTTAGCAAAAGAATTAACTATTTAAAACGCATAACAGGAAACAATAAAGAATGCAAATCTAATACTATCATAAAAATCTATAATGCATATATTCACCCCTAATAGAATATGATTCTCAAATCACCTACAATATGCCTAAAAATATAGCTAAATCACTACAACTCCAGCAAAACAGAGTTCTAAGATTAGCCCTCAAGCTACCAAAATTCATCCCTATCAATTATATGCACTAAGCTTGCAACATCCTATTACTTAAAGACAGACTAGCAACACTTGCCCACAAATATTACCAGATTGCAGAAACAAGAAAACACCCTAACTGTAAGGGTACACACCATGACTAATGCCCAACACAAAACAATATCTCTGTACAACATATACAGAGCCTCCAAAGCACCCTAGAAAAATACAACAACCTCTAATTAAAGCTTAACTCTCTGTGTAAACTAACCATTTCTTGTGTTTTTCTTATTTAAGCACTGGGCAAAAGACAGGTAGCATATTCAATGCCTGTCTTGTGAAAGTGGGTTTTCTCAGAGTACTCCCATTTCATCCCACAGCAAATTCAAAGGCACTTTGATTTACAAATCCAAATTATGGCATTGGATTTACAGATCCCAGCCACCCCGTGACCATGGGAAGTTTATTGGATTACTTTATCAAATGTTCCTTACCTTGCTTCTTCTCAACAATGTCACGTCAATGGCTTTGGCCTTTCTCTCTGCTCTGGATTCTGCCGGACATGTATCTGCTTCACTCATTCATTTTAATCTCACTAGACAACTTAGAATCACCCCCCCTGGCAAATCTTAAAAAATCACATGAATATAAAACACAAAATTATCGCGAGTGGGGCAAAGGAGGATAATAATAATATTCCTAACTACCCCAGTTCAGGAAAATATCTTCCCTTTAAAAACTAAATTCCTGTAATGAAAAAAAAAGGAAAGGATGTCACCAGGAAACACCTCAGGATTTCAGTAGAGAGCCTCAAAGAGGAGATGGATGGTAGAAAGATACCACAAAAGAGTTGTGAGGGTAAGTTGAAGGTGAAAAAATTGGGCTTGGGTCAGACTTAGAGAAGATTCAGTGGCCACCCCCAGAATTCATAATCAAGAAGAGTCAACCAAAATCGAAATTATTAATAATAATGCGACCATAATAAAATGGGATTGAATTTAAAGTGAAGAAACAGTCTTAATAAATTTAGAAGTAATTTAAAGGAAAAACCACTTTACGAGTATACTAAAGTTGAATGTGAAGCTTGAAACAAACAAAGGAATACGTCCAAGCACAAGCGCTGCCAAACGAGAAATGATAGTTCGGTAGAGGCGTATAGAGGGAGTCACATACACTACGC